GGGGATGAGCACCGCCCCCTAGAGTTGAACACGACTGGACAAAAATTGTCAAGGGGAACCTTTACCTTATCCTCCTTTTTAAGTTCCCAACTTCCCTAGGGCTCCTTTTCACCTTGAGGAAGCTCTGGATGAGGGGAAGCCTTTGCAACCAAAATATCACCATCAGCTTGGAAGCAGCACTCCTGACCCCACTAGCAGTAATCCAGTGGCAATTTTTGACTTCTTAAGGTCTCTCCCTCCATCATGAGACATACATGTGAGGAGCAAATGTTTCTTTAGCTGCATGTGCATGCAATACCTACACATCTACACATGTGTAGATATGTCAGCCCCGTGTATAATTATTCCATATTATTGCAGAAGGACATACTTTCCCTTCTTCCTTAAGACCTTATCAGACTCAGGATAGTTCACCAAGATTTCGTTGAGAGTCTTCTTGTCAAGAATAAAAAGGTTGGCAAAGCCATGGGCCACCACGTTTGCTGTCCGTCGATTTCCCCCACTTGCTGCTAAGAGGCTGAAATGGCAAAGAAAATAGGCAGTCTTATTTTTTTTTCTTAGTCATCAGCACCACAAGAAATTTGCTATCTTGCTTGGTTACTCTCATAGTTAAAAGTATATTATTGCTAATCTTCAATATAAGCTTTTAGCAAATTCAATCTACTCCTTCTAGCTTATCTTCTGCAGACGTGGAAAATGTTTGTTCTCCAATATCTTAATGGTGTCTTGTTAAACATTTGAAAAGATTATGAGCGCGACTATATGGTCAAATGCCACGAGATTTGCTCTGCTTATGAAGTGGGCAAATCTGAAGTACTTTTTTTTTACTGACTGCATGATGCAAAGGCTGCTTTGAATTGGTCCAGGTCTTTTTGCTCCCAAAGTGGCTTCCCCCCTCCCCTGCTGCTGGGCAGCTTCTACTTTTTCAAGCCAGAATGATTTGAATTGGCTTTCCCCCATCTAGTTAACTGTGATAGTCTCTTGTAAATACGAGGTGTGCAGTGTTTTGGTGACATAGGCAGTTGGGGCATGATATTCACGCCTGGTTGGGACGGGGTGGATGTGGGGATCAGGTCCTAGTCCTGGATCCTGTCAGTGTTTGTGGGAAGGTCCTTTTGTTGCAAAGCAAAAGCTTACTGTTGTTAATCCCTTAGTTGACAGGTCTGAAAGTGTCATTAAAATCACCTTTTTCCTGTTTTACTGTTCAAACCTCTGATATTAGGTACTCTGAGACTGTTAAGTACCTTTCCATGTTATATTTCTATAGAAATGTTTTTGAGAAATATAGTAATCTGAATTTTTAAGTGAGAAAGCAGCTTCACAGAGAACCATAAGAGGATCAGCAGAGGCTGGTCCAGACGAATGAAGGAGAGAAAGGGGCGTTATGGGCTGGAATGCAACTCACATCACATCCAATGTGAATAGTGAACTCCTGAATCAATCCGCAGCCTCTGCGTGAGCAATTTCAAATGTAATACGGATTGGAAATCAAATTGCAGCAAAGCTGAGTCAGAACAATTTCCAGAGTAGTCACACCCTATGTCCCCCTACCACATGTTCTTGCCTGTTTCAGTTCCTTCTGACTTTGCTGCAGACCAATAGGTCAGCTGCTGGATTGGATTAATGGAATGCAGAAGTGGGGACCTGCAACTTGCAGATTTAGGTCACACCTGTGACTTGCCTTGGACTCAATTTTGGGGTTTCTGGGGTGACGGGCGACTCGACTTGTGACTTGGATCCATTTGTCTGAGTTGTGTTGCCAAATCCCTATGCCCCCCCGTCCCCACTGGCCTACCTGCTCCTGCCACCACCATCTTCACATCAGAGGGCTTTTCATGGTGATGCTCTAGCTGCCTGTAGTCAAAGGGCAAGTCCTCCAACCTGCCTATTCCTGCAAGTTGTCCTTGGTGATGCTTTAGCCTGCCATAGAGCATCACTAGGAAGACTTACAGGAAGAGGTGAGTCTGAGAACCTACCTTGGAGTACAGTAGTCTAGAGCATCTCTATGAAAGCCCCCCTGCCTTCCTCCTGCTTCAGACCCTATGCTGGCCTATCAGCTTGTCAGCACATGCATTGAGGGAGGCAGCAGCCTGGATCCCGAATGGAGGCAACTGCAGCGTGGTGGGCAGTGGGAGGCCCAGGTGTTTGGTACCAAGTCCTGAGTATGAAGCCTTAGGGGGCAGGGCAAGTGGCTCGCAACTCCGACTTGGGGCTTGGTACCAAAGATTCAGACTTGGGCCTTGGTGTCTGAGACTCCGACTTGGACTTGAGACATGGGTCCCAAGGCTTACCAACATCCATGGTGGAATGTTTGTGAAAGATGGTGAGAATAGTTAGTTCAGCAGGCATAGGGACAGAGGATGAGACGTAAGATGGCAAAAGGTACCACAAAGAAGGTAGGGAATTGTTATCACTGTTGCAACTGTGTTGCTCAACTACTTGTTTATGAGAACAGCCAGTTCATCCGGCTCGTGGACAGATGATAGAAAAAAATTGCAACAGATGAAGCAAGAAGCAGACCATGGCATTGATCAACTATTCCACACAGAGCATAGATGAAAATTATAAGTAAACAGCATATGTAAGGGAATTGTGAATGAAGTGATAATAAAGATGGAGAAAGTGTTAAGACAAATAATAATGGAAATCTGTGGTTCTCTTCAATGGCCCCTCTCTTTAAATATGAAGCTCTCTTGGGTTTTCTAAGCATCACTCTGCAAAATCTGTGAAACATTCTATTTTGGCAAAGGCTGGGGCTGGTTTAGAGCCCAGGCTCTTTCTGCTGAAACCTGCCAGAAGACAAAGTTGTGCAGCAGGGAGATCCAGGTGCTTCTCTCTTGCATGGGATAAACTGGAACACAATTTTGTTCCAGCTGCCATCCTGCTATTGTTAATCTCCCGCTGGCAATCCTGCTTTCCACTTGGCAAGGAAGGAAATAGCAATGTGCCAGGTTTAAATTTATCCTCTGCTTGTAGCTCCCCTTGTGGCTGTGAAAGGATGCCAATTGTGTTGAACAGAATGCCAACAGCTCCTACTAGTCCACACACAGGCAGCTCACAAATACTTTTCCTACAGTTTCTCAGAGAGCCCAATCCACCAGTGCAATTTCCTGGAAGAGTCCCAATGCATTCAATGGGAAACTCTAACAGTCAAGTCACCTATCTCTGAAGAAGTTGCACTGTTGAAAAGAAAATCTTGATTCACCATAAGGAATATGCATTTTTCTAATTTATCTTTGATGGGTCATTTTCATATGCAAGTCATTGTATTCCATAGAATGTTTGTAAGAGCAGCATTATTTATAAAGGCAAAATAGATCTGGTCATTTCATGAAACAGTGATTTATCCAAAGCAACAGAACAATACCTGATCTCTCCAAATACAGCTCCTGCTCTCAAGGTGACCAAGACTTTGGTGCCATCAGGACCTCCGAGTACTTGAACCTCACCTTGTTTTATGATGTACATTTCTCTACCAATTTCCCCCTAGAGGCATACATCAAAGAAAACACTGCAGGTTATGATGATGGTTATTATAACAGTAAGTGTCATCTCAGCAGCAACAGCTGTCCGATAGATGGTTAATTTAAAGCCTTTTTTCTCCTCACGTAGTGAACTTCCCACTAACTGAGCTCTTCTTGTTCACAGCATTGATAAAACAAAACATCTTTTTTGATTCATATAGTTAAAATTTCCAGGATTTATTCAGCTCAGCCACTTGCCAAAAACATTCCAGTCCTAAGTATGACATTATTTATGGTGCATCCTCCCTTTTTATTCTCCCAATCATGGTGGGAGAGTATGTTAGGCTGGAATATAGCTACTGGCCCAAGAGGCTCATGGTTAGCTCTGTCACATACAGCACTGATGGTACCTGTCTGTCATGGGTTTGGAGGGAAAGTTCCATCCTATGGGGAGTGGAAGGCGGGACATCAGGGGGAGGAGCTGTACTGTATATATATGTGGAGCTTGTGTGGAGAGTGAGGAGTTGGAGTCTGTGTGTCAGACTGAGTACAACTGTGTGTCAGTTAGTACATACCTGATAGGTTCAGGTTTCTTTATAGGTAGCCAGAACTGATAGGTTCAGGGTCTGTGCTTTACTTTAAAGGGTTCTGTGGGAACCAAACTGTTATATGTATATGTTTGGGACTTTGCCACGTTACAGTATCTTATTTACTTGATCTTTTTATTTACCCTGTTTGTTATTTAAATAAACCTTGTTCTTTTGTTTGTTAAAAATCCATTCCTGGTCTGTGTGACTCCTTATAGGGAATGGTTGGTGGCAGCTTAGTTA